CAAAGGAAATATTTCCTGAAGGTCCTTTTCACTTTTTTTGGATCCTTTAATATAGTGCCTGTACTACTGCCACAGTGATAAAGGTCACTAAAACTTAAACTGTTAGAACAAATGGGAGAGTTTGGGTTATCTATTAAAAATGGATAAAGGACTTATCAAAGAAGGGACTTTATAGGCATATTTACTTTCAATATAAAAGAAATTTTGGATTGGCCAAATTAAGGGTTGTAACAAAGAACAATTTCATTTCTTTTTTGCGTAATTGTTTTGAAATAATCTCATCGAATGGAGTTCTAGAAATAATATGTAGTTTGTAAACACTACACAATGTGTTTTAGACAGGGAATATATGATTTTGAGGTGCTTCTCTCAAGTGAAAAAACTAAGTAAATAGCTGAGTATAATCAAGGTGCCTAATAGCTACAGAAATGTCTGGTTTTTACAGGTGGAGTCCTTGTCTTAGGTAAAATTATACATTTAAAAATTTGAATGAAAGATTATTTCTTATATATTAAGGAAATACGTAATTTGTTACATCTATTCAGCATGATTTTTAAAAGTAAAACTAACATTTCAACTGATTTAATGTTTGAAAAAAATAGAGTGAACAAAATTAAAAGGTGCGTATTTGTAATATATAATTCATATAATGCACAGAAAAGGTCATGCCAACGTATTCTGAGAAAAAAGGAAGAAGAAACAGGCTGACAGACACAGAAAAATGAAAGTATAAGAATCAGAGGGCTCAGATAACGACACATCTAGTTCATTCCAGGCTCTAGTGAAATGGTCAGTGAATGACATCACTGTGGCAACTACAAAGAAGAACTCCAGGCCCTCCCTCTGAAAAACACTGTTCAAAGCCCCAAGGAAACCTAAGCAGCCTCTGTAATTTTTTTCCAGTTTATGAAAATTGGATTCCTATAAAAGAAAAATGGACCATTTTTACTGCAACAAAAACTGATTTGTAAAAGCTGGAAGCAGTTTAAAAATACTCAACATGAGGTTCTTGTTAGTCTTGAAAAGTAAGAGTTATAATAAAAACGGTCCAAAAATATGGTATGGATGCATGGTAAAAAGGGGGAGAAAAGCTAGCCTTACTCCTATTATTTTTAATTAGCTTCAATAGCAAGTTCCACTTCACTTTTAACACCAGTTCAGATTTGGGGAGGGGAAGATTTACATCTGACCTCTGGGATTGGCAACTCTATAGCTAATGCCTTGGAGCCCTAATGTATTTTGCATTACCTCTAAATGTCGGGAAATTCTGGCGCCCAGAGGTTCAGGCTGATAGTGACGCATGTCTAAAACCCAGGATTCGCAGTCCAACTGCCACATCTATTTTAGCAGACATCCAGTCTCCCGTGTAGAGTGGGATAGATGAGTTTCCAATTTTCAGCATTTCCATTTACACTGCCTTGCTGTGTTACAAAGATGCAGGCCTCCGGGCTAAAATGGGCCCCTGACTGGGGCTGTAAGGAAAGGACGAATGTGAACTGCTCTCTAAGTCTGGCTTGGTTTCCTCATTTTATCAGATACGTCCTATTACTAAATCTTGCCATTTTAGGAAGAAAGTGAAGGGTTTTTCTTTAAACAATTAAAAAAAAAACTCTTAGGAAAATTAGAAATTTATTCTTTACCTTGCAGGAAGTTGGGATCATCTATTTGACCTGAACACCATGACACTGATATGTTAAAACCCGCAAAGACTGAAAAGCCATAAATACTGTCTAAAGAGCGCGTCACCTGTCACTGCCATATTATTTCATGTTAAAATTAAAACAATGATAATGATTAAGAATTCACATTTTATACATTAATTTTTTTATTATTCTTTTTTCAGATAACTTGACAGTGCTTACCTATTAAAGATATATGAAAAGAAAGAGGGAAAGAATTTTTAAGTCATTTGGACAATTTCCCTATTTAAAAAACAACTTAAAATATATAACACTTCCTCTTTTTAAAAGTATTTAAATATCAGCTTTTTCAATATTCAAAATTCAACCAAGACATTCTTCATAACTAACCCAAGTTCTTCATGTTGCCATTAAGTCAGCTTGTTCCGTCTCCACAGTGAAAGTGAAGACAAGAGTTCAACATCCTGCTTATAGTTCTTAAGAAACACTCCTATTTGCTTAAAATCAGTTAAAATAAAAATTTTCCAAAGAAGTATTTTAAGTCAATGTTGTTTGCTCTAATAGGCTTTAAATTTACCTATTGGATATCAGAAGCTGAAAGGTAGCCATTAGTTTAAAATTTCACATCTGGGACATTTTGTGGCAAAATTTTCATGCCAAAATATGTGAATAATTATGTAGCAATTTAAAATACTTAAATCTTTACAGAATTAAAAAATAAGCCAGATAAGATCTATGGTTTGTTACTATCAAAGAAGAGCACAGAAATCCTATTAGAAGAGAACCCTAACCAATCAAAAACGACTGAATAAAAGCCAGAGTAAACGATCCCAGAGGAGGAAATGCAGACAGAACCACCAAGTCTGGGCTAGGCTTCTCTGCATCTCCGCTGATCCAACTGAGAGTCCCTTCTTATTTGATCTATTACCTACAAAAGAACCCTAAGGAAATTCATTGTAAATTATTTCTCCTGGAAATAAAAAAAGAAAACGATACAGTTATGTGATTTAAGGCCTGAAAAATTACAAAGGACAAGAGATGAAAGACTTAACTTTCTCAGGGGAAGTTCTTTTTAAAGGGCAAACAATTCTCAAATCAAAATGATTATAATATATAAGTATATCACTCTTGATTTGAAAATAGTCTATAGTACGTTTTATTAACTAATCCTTTAAGCCAACATTACTGTGATGTGCCTTTTATGATATAAAAGACACTATTTAAATATTTTTACCTTTGTAAAGGAACTGAAGGTACAAAGGTAAGAGAGTTTTCCCAGTCATTTTTAAAGAGTTACTAACAGAATTAAGAAATAAAACCCTGAAATCTTTGGATGGAGTGCATAACAGTCACTGAGTACAGTTGTCGCTCAAATGGCTTATTGTTTTATAAAATAACTATTTTTGAAAACCAGAAATGAGAAATTTTGCTGAACTGAGCTCGTAAGTCCATTGTTTTGTATATTCAATTTTAATGAAAATGCTCAGGTTCGTAAAAATCACATAATTATATAAAAAATGAAAGCAAGTCTTTCTCGAATAAGTAATGAATAAATCAGTATTGTCTGCTTTCTTTAGATTGGCGATTGGCAGTATCTGAAGGAGGTACAAAAATGCTTTCTTCACAGCGAAACATAAATGGTAGAATAATTAACCTTGTAAATGCCATCAGCAAAATCTTCCATATAAATATTAGGATTATAAACCCAAATGATTTCTTCCTTTTCCAATTATGTTTTAGAAAACATTTGTGTAGGGAATTGTCCCACGATGGGAGTATAGTAGTTATAATGATTAAACAGAGCCTCTATTTAAATAATTATAGCTAATATAGACAGAAACATCAGAAGTAATCAAAAGCCATATGCTTTCTGGTATGTAACCATGTTTAACTTTTATTTCCTAAGGCAAGGAGTTTCTTACCATGATAATCCAGTACACTAATAAAACTATTTCTAAAGTGCTATTATTTACTTAAAGTCCACTACAGAATACTGAACTACATATATCGCATTTCATGTAATACAACGTTTTCCACCATGCTTTAAAACTTTGAGTCCTGACCATCAAAATGAGTTGTGAAACTAATATAGTGGGTTGCAATGTGCATTTCAAAAATAAAATAATAGAACAGAATGTCATTGTGTATTATAGATAGTAACAGTAATTGCTGTTTTAAGAAATTTTTGTTCTACATTATATACAGGTGTATACATATAGATAAAAAAATGTGTATGTGTGCACTGGGTTGCAATATGAAAGGAATTTCTTAATGGGGTTGTGGTAAAAAAAAAACAACACACCAAAAGCTCAGAGGTCACCATAGTATGCTATGTTTCCTTCCAAATTAGGCATCATGTTTGAAAGAACATAAGTTATGGAGACATATAGACCAGATTTCAAATTACTTCCTGTAATATCCTATAGTGTGAGTTGGTTACTTAAATTATTAGAGCCTTGATTTCTTCATCTGTAAAATGGCTATAACAATACTTGCCTTAAAACATTGCTGGGAAGGTTAAAATAAATATGATGAGTATTTGTAGAATAGATTATATACAACAGATGATTAATAATGGCTGTAATACTGTTGGATCAAATGGCTTATTATAAGTCATCAATAAGAGTTATAAAATATTAGTCATAATTGTATTCTTTCAAGTAAAAAATGCATAAACACATCTTCCAAACAGAAAATAGTTCATGTTAATGAAAAGTGCCATTTTATAAGAAGAAATTAAATAAATAATTTAAAGAAAAAATAGTCTTAATGGCAAATAAGACTACAGCTATTCATTTGAGACTAATTTAATGTGAAATTTCAACGATCAGCCTAAATTCAAATATTATGCCTCCAGGAATGATATGAAGGAGAAAATACTGTTTATACATTCTGGTAAAATTTTATAATTGTAGAACAATGCTGATATGTCAGATTTCTTTTCCTTTAAATATTTTATTTGCATGCCATTCAAGGAGGAAAAGTTTTTAATCAAAGCATTAACTTGCTAAGACAGTGTTGTCTGAATAATTGTTAAAGTACACGTATTGTGTTCTTTATTTTATTTTATAGGCTTTGGAAAACAATCTGGGTTCATAAATTTGACAAAAGTACTGTCTTTTTCAATAGAAAAACTGGATTTTCCAAAGCGATGAAGCATATATGTTTTTCAGATCTGTGATTTCAATTTTTTTGCATAGAAAATGTGGCTTCATAAATTAATTTAAAATCAAGCAAGCACAATCTTGAAAATATTAAGTATTTTTTCCTCTTTAACGAAAAAAGAAAAATGAGAAATGATAAGAATTCTAGCTTTTAAATACAAGGGAAACATATATTAGATTTGGAAAGGTTGTTTACCTGCCAGGAAATGAATGCTGCCCAACTATATCTCCATTTTGAAGGTGATAATCATTGAAGAAATCTGGACTTAGGGCTCCTTCAGAGGTAATTAATCCATCTAGAAAAAAGGAAAATGGTAACTAGTAAAACAGACTTGTAGGGACTAAAAAAGGAAACTATTCTATCAAGCAACACAACAGAAAATAACCCGCATATTTAACCTGGAAAGAAAGATGTTAGCATGACATGCTCTCCTCTTACGAGTGTGAACAGAAGACTACATATGTGTGCTCCTTTACAACAATCCAGCACAACGCTCAAACGTTTACTGAGCATCTACCATGTGGCAGTACTATATTAGTACAGACCTTGAGTAAGACCACCTCTGCCTTCAGGGTGCTCACAATGACAAAAGAGAAAGGGGTGAGGCAAGGTAGGGAGGGACAGATAGTAGGATGGTCTAGGCCGAGGAAATAGAATGAGTGAAGACAAGGAGACATTCAATAGCATGGTGTCAGCAAAGTGCAAAACTTTAGTATGTCCCACATTTTATACCCACACAGCTTCATTTGTGTAACATGATTAGGGAATTAGATATTTCAAATAAGTGAATTTCTAAATAAGCAATGCTTGACAAACCTTAAAACACAAACACACAAACTTGGGTTAGAAATCTTTATAAATATATTTTACACACCCTGTTTTTTTAAAAAGTGTACAGAACATATTTAAGTGGTTCTCGACGACTCAATCCTCATTATAAGCATCAGTTATTATACAGCAGTCCCTAGGTGGTCAGGTACATTTGACTACTTACACTAACTGGCTCTATACCACTATGCTTTCTGAGTTCTTTTCCGTTGACTATAAAGTGCTTCTTTTCCTAAATCCAGGTCTGTATTATTACTTCTTATTGATTTTCGAATAACACTATTTTCTTATTTGCTCCATCTAAGAATCCAGATAACCTATTTTTGATAGAATTTTGAACAAGTTAAGAATAATATGAGGAAAAAAAGATCTAATTTATATTTGTTACTATGCATAGAACAAATATAAATGTATTTTAAGATATGGCTTTTGTAATAACTACTTGGAAAGTTCTGAAGCCTTTTAAAGTTTCCTAGTTTGAAAGTATTCTGGGTTGTTAGGTAACCTCTAGATACATATTGGTTAGGTCACACTCACAACTCTCTTTATAAATTTGGGATATGGTAAGTAAATTACTCAGTCACCAGATGACTATTTTACACCTACCATATGCATAATAATGCTTTCCTTAGTCCTGTGGTCAATACAAAAATTACAAAACCTAATTTCTGTTTTCAAGGATCTTACATTAAGTGAAATAAATGACAAACACTTAAGATGCAATTAAATAATATAGTTCACTAATAAATGATACACAACAGGAATGGTATATGTACCAAATGAGAGCTGGAGACAGAAATGCTGCAGCGAGACTGCCATGTCCACAGGGCTTAGAGAATTCTACTTGGGGAGAGAGGGAGGCAGAAGTGTAACTGATTTGAGTCTTGAAATATATGTAAGCATTAATGACAAGATCTGTTTCAGGAGTAAGGATATTAAAAATCAAGTAAATGGAAAAAAATAATAGAGTTGGCAAATGAATAAGTGAGGTGACTTGTGTTTCCATCAGACTCCTGTACTACTCACTTGGTACATGTATCCATAAAGACTTACATTATTACTTAATTGTTGAATTGTTAATGAATACCTTTGTTATCTGTCTTATTACTTTAGTAAATTTAAAATACTTAAGAGGTAGCTTAAAAGTGTCTAATATAATATATTTAGACCAGTTTCTATGTTCTCTAAAAGTTAAAGATTCCATAAATAGAAGACCAGCTAAACAAAAAAAAAGTTAAAAAAAGAAAAGAAATTGTGGGAAATGTCAAGATACCACAGAGAGTTGAGCAGCTAAAAAAAATTAAATTTATATGAATCTAACACTTTGTGAAAGTGTGGCTAAAATTAATAAGGTTAAGGCCACAAAAATCAACAAGCTCCTCTGTTAAATTAAAACCAAATAATTGAGGATCAGAGTTTAAGAAATCTGCCAACTTCAGAGGAACGAAGCTAAGTAAAATGCCAAAATAAAATGTATGCCACAGTTTGAAAATGAAGACAAAGATATTCAGCATGCCAGTAGAAGCAGAGATTCTACATTCGTATAAATACAACTAAATAACAAGATACCTGAATTATATTTTAAAAGTTTTTACATGAAATGTGACCTAGTGAAGTGAGCCAGGTTAGGAAGAAATTAAATAGAAAACTCTTGTCAAATTCACAACATTGTCATTTTGATTCAGAGCTCCTGTCATCTTCAAAGGGAAAAATGGGGAGAAAAGGAGAAATGGAACACAGGGCAGACTACAAACTGGGAGCTCATCAAGCAGATCAAACTAAATATTTTTCAGTTTAAAGATTCAGCCAGAAGTTTTATAAACCCAGAATACAACTAGTTTAACATTATAATAGGCCTGATATTATGTAAGTAAAACAGAGAAAATTTATACTTCTGACCTTGTTTTTTAATACTTCTAGGACACTGCAATTCACTCTGTGAACCACAGCTTCTACAGTGCACTTAATGGCTTGACAAAAGCTAGGCAACTCTGACATGTGAGCAATCTTTCTTCACTAGAATTTATTTATAACTTCATAAAGTTAAATTATACCTTAAATTAAACCCTCCACTCAAGCACCCCAACTTCTTCGGAACTATCTGTTTCTCAGCATTCTGAATCCAAAAGTAATTGTTTTCTAGAAATACTACAGGGGAATAATTTATTCTTGATGACAAACTCCAGATAAATCTACAAGTGTCCTTCTCAGGCCTTGTTGCTTCAAAGGTAGCAACAAGGAACCGGAGAATTTCTTGTCCCATTTAAATAACCAGAGAACAAACAGAAGACAGGTGACATATACCAGAGCACATTGTAAGCTGCAGAGCATTATTTACATTTAGGTTATTAAATTATATGAGGTCTTTATACCATGGTTACATACAACACACCTTTCTGTGGTGTTCTGAGTAATGATGGTAAATATGGTTATGACTAAAAGGGGTAGGTACTAGAATGAGGGTGAAATCAAAGGAAATTGGTCAGCACAGGTAATTTATCAGCCTTCTGATTTCTGAGTCAGTTAAAAAACTGGAGTATACACATTGTGAACAAAAGAAAAAAATACAAAAACATTACCTTCTTATACATTGTTACTGAAATAAACTTTATTTTTTAAAGTCAAATGAAAACGTAATATTGGACTCTTTGGTGAACTAGTTAAAAGTGAAATTGTGGTTGCGTGGGAGAAAACATATCAATAATGGAGAAAAAGAAGTGACTAAAATCGACGAATTATGACTTACTTGGCTGCCTCTGATAAGACACATTGCAGAAACACATACGTAAATGCAAACTACAGTATTACAATGATTCTGAGGCAGAAGCAAACCATTTTAAGATTCGTATTCCAGAAATATATTTACATGTCAAATGCTAGGAGTAAGATTCACCACAGTTGATGAACAGCAACAAAAAGGTAAAAAGTGATTTAGAAGTGTGCAGTAGCAGTACAGTTTCACTATGAGCCATAATATGCTTCCTCTGTGGGTAAAAGTTCTAAAGCAAACAGCGTAATTTTCATGACAGAAAAGGAAGTTAATCAGTGGTTACAATCATAATAATTTTAGACTCTAAGGAAAAAATACCGTAACTAAAGGAAATGCCAGATTCCTATTTCATATGACAATACTAAGATCCTTTAAAAAAAAATAAAAGCAAGAGAGAAACAGATACATTGGGACATATTTAACAGTTTGAATATATAGAAGGCAATACTAATGACTAACAAGTAGCAAATGATATTTCATTTAAACTAAAAGATAAGACTCAGGGAATTATGGGCCACTTAACTTAACCTCTGTGGCTAAAAAGCTACCAAACCTGCTTTTATTGGAAGAAGCCTAAAGTTTCATGGAAACCCAGGGACTTAAATAAGATGGCTTTCAAATCTGTAGTATTACAAATTTCTCTGAAGTTTCTGAAGATACAACTGCACACAATAAGAGACAAAAGGCTGGCGTTATCCGGATTTCCATGACACACATCAGAGAGATACAACAGAGACTGATTTAGTAGATGAACTACTCATGGAGAATGAACTAGGTAAAATAATTAATAAACTAAAAAACAGATGGCTCGATATATAGAACTATATCTTTAAATTCACAGCAATGTAATCTCCACTGTCAAATGTCCACCATATCATCAGGCTACAGGTATTAAAAAACCACCATGAGTATAACAAATGATAATATTTCAACCCCTCAAACGCTTAAATTTATTTATTTTTCCATCAGTGGTAGCTGTTTCTAAATTTTGATATATAAAAATATATTTAATTTAGATTTTTACAAAAGCCTAAGTAGTAAATTTTAATTATAAAATATCTTACATAAAAATGTTTATGATTTTCATTTAAGAGGTTAATTTAAATAAATTAATTTTGGAAATATGCTTTAACTTTTTAGAAATATGTTTTAAAATTATAATTGTATTAAAACAACAAAGTTGAATACTGTGCTGGTTAAAAGTTTTACTCAGTTTTGAAAACTGTGATTCACACTGAAAAGTAGCTATCAATCTTCAAAGCAAGAAATCTGATTCCAAGAAATTCTGATTTCTATTAACAAAAATTCATATCATATATATTTTACATCATTTTACTTCATGAATATCTGAATATGTAAGGAACAGCTGCTTGCCATTACAGAATGAAGAAATTTTGGTTGGTTGAAATTAATGATCTACACCATCTGGTTTGAAACACAAAGCAGTATTTCATAACTACTGTAAAGTTCAGTTAGGAAGAAATCTATTTAATTTTCAAAGTAAAGTATCAATTTTCCAGGATTCAAATATCTATATCAAATATAAAAAAATGCAGTGTTTATGGGCAATTTGCACAATCCACAATTATGAAAACACATGAATCACTACATAGTAGGAAAAAAGTGAGCCATTAATTCAAATATAATTACTTTCATGCTTTTTATTTCTAATCTGCTACAGATCTTAATTAGAAATCCTTTCCTTCCACTCCTCAACTAAATGGCTTCAATGAAGCAATATTAATAGTGACAACTGTGAAACACACTAAAAGCCAAAATATGCAAAAACTTACCAATCTTTGTGCCAAACTCATCCCTGGAAAAAGGCAGTATGGCAGAATCAGCAAGGTTATAACATGTAAGATTTACCTTGAAACAGCAGAGTTTAGAGGGAAAACACTATTGCTACGAAGGGCCTACATCATCCCAACCAGTAACCAGAGTTTACTACTTCAAAACTAAAGCAAAACCATGGCAAAATTAGACTGTTAAAATGAAATACAGGGGAAACCAAATATAAGTTAGTAAGGGATACATTTAAAAAAGAAAAATAAATATTACATTTTCAAACAGAAGTCAGAAATCTTGAAGATGTCATTTTAAGTTATATATTCTAGAATGTACTCAATTAAGAGCAATTAATTTTCCTGGCCACAGCCTCTTTTTAATGGAGATCACATAATACAAAAGGAATGATTCTGGAAAAAATAACAGTGAGCTAATAGGTTTGCTTGGTGTGTACTGATGTTACGTCTGAAATCATGAGTAGGAGACATTTATGTACTAAGAGAAGTGCTTACAAAGCTTGGGAATGAGCAAAGTTGGCAGATCAAACTAGCTTGCAGACAACTGGTTACCATCTTACCTGAGCTATAGAAAAGGTCAGGTCTTTCGAGAATATCTCCTTCATGGATGTAAGGCTCAATTCGATCATCACCATACAAGTACTGCTCACTCTCATCCATCTGACGACTCTCGACCATCTCCAGCCACTGAGAGTTATGCCAGCGGAATTTTTCACTTTGGATTTTCTTAGCCCATTCTTCATCATATTCCTGTTGAAAACAGAGTCAACTATTACTCCTTAAGCTTCTGAAGGAACTCCCCTGGCACTCAGACAACAGTACTTTTATCTCATGAGAATCTGGGTGGTCTTCATTTGGGTCAGAGGAAACACTTAAAATACCTGTTCATAATTATTTTATATAATAGTCAATAAAAATCAAATACATATTAAAGACATCTCTGTTTGCATTACCAGTTGCTAATGGCAATGGCAAAAACTGGAAAAGCTTAAATTTCACAAATTCTTTATCATGAGACCTTAGGTAAGGAATCAGACCTCAGCTTCCAAAGAGTTTTGTGGCTATAATTATTTGTGGCACTAATGACAGGTGGGGATGCATTAACATTACATCTTTTGCTATGTCTTTTTGTGTAGATAACACTTTTCAGCAGGAAAAAAAAGCGCTACTAAAGTATTCCTCCTAACTACTGAAATGGTTACTATGGAAAACAAAATAATGTTATATTATTTAGTCATAATTATGTCTTTATATGTCTATCTCCTGTTTCAGCCATGAATTCCTAAGGCGCAAGATGGCCTTGTTAACTGCTGTATCTGATAGCTGTTCACAGAGAACATCGTGCTGAATGTTTTGAAGGACAAAAGGTAAGTTATTATAAACTACAGCTGAACTTATCTAGCTTCCAACTCTTCCCACAGGTTATGGCTACTTCTGACTAATGTATTCACTTAACAGTACCACAGATGGCACAGATGAAAAAAAAGGCTTCAGGTATTTCTTATCCTAATCTTAGGGTTCTCAGTTTCAAATTCCTCTGTCACATCTTTCACAGTTTTGTTTATAGTTATCTAAAAAGGAGTGGGAAAATGCCAGCTAATAGTACCGTCCTCCAATAATCAACACGATTATGATAACTAAGAGGTGGACCAAATATACATTTTAGTCAAATAGCTGAGCAATTTTCATCCAAAGCTGAGGCTCAAGTCAAAAACTGTCATCACAGAATGAATTTCTGGGATGTAAGAATAAGTCTGAAATTTTATAATAAAGGTAATTGTTATTATCTTGTTAATAATTTACCTGTTAAATTTTAAAAGTTTCACAGTATCATTAAATCTCTTAGTGGTGTCAGCTTTCAGACTGTGTGTTCTAACTGTACATCTCTGAAACTATACAGATGCTCCTGTTCAACTGAGGTTGGTGGAGGCAGGAGATATTGGGCTATGGTACTTGCTAATGGCAATTCTGCCACTGAATTATTAAGCTTTCCTTCTTTCTAATAGTTATCTATTATCCTTATTAGTTGTCAATCTATGTCCAAATATAATTATATAAAATTAAATAATATAAAAGTAGAGCTATAATAAACATTATTACATTTTACTTTAAAAATAATAAACATTTATTAATTCAACTGTTATAATTTTAATATTTAAATCACTGAAGATTTTTTACTTGAAGTTATATTTTCAGTGCTAACCTATATTTGAAATTGACAATTTAGATATAAACAATATATCCTAAATCCAAATTCTACTTCTTGTTGGCATGGTTACAGCAATTAGATACAATCATTTAAACAATCATCCAACCATTGATCACAGAAATTGCTCTGATAAAATGAGAAAATGCAGGTAAAGTATTTAGAAAACCTATAAACCTATATTGAAAACACTTAATGTTCACCTTACTGTTTAAGTAACTGAAGTAACAGCCCTCTAAGTTAGGTACTATGAGAAAATGAGGTCCAGAACACTGAGGTAATCTTTCGCAGCAGTGTGGAAACGGCAATTAAACAGAGTAAATGAACACTTGGCAGGGTCACTGTAGACGGATTCTTCAGTGAATGTGTATAATGAATGACCTCCAAGGTCAACTTTCAGCTCTCAGATTCTATGAAGGGGTCGAATTGTTGACCAAGCAATGATATGGGAGGAAGTAGCTTCTGGTCTGGTAAGTATATTACGCACTGTATTCTCAATCATGTTCTCTCTGACCTGGCCACACATGGGAGGGTGTTTGGAAAAAAGGGAGTTGAAAAAATAATAGCACCGAGATGTTGTTACAAGTAGTTTCATTGGCTACAGATTTTAGTGGATCACTTTATTCCAAAATGAAATAAAATACTGTGGTGCTAATTATGCAGAATGGGCACTGTGATTAGCTTTAAAATAATTTAGCCCAAATGCTAAATATAACTTTGAACCTCTTTGAAGTGTATGACTTCAAAAGTACAGTATATTTTTTGGTTCCACATGTGGCATAGTGTATGTGCTCATAGTTAGCTGCAAAAACTATGATTGTCATATTAATTTAAGAATGATCACATATACACTTATAGAAGACAAGGATTAATTTATTGTCCATTAAAATAAAGAATTTAATGCATAAAAAAAAGAAAAATGATATTTTGGGCAAGAAATTCTTCATTCTAACTGTTGTTTTTTCCCTAAAAGATTAGTTATAAGTCACCAAAACTTCCAGGATATGCCTTATAAACCAGAAATCCTATTAAATAAATCTACATTAAATACTGGATGGAACTAATTTAAGTGGTATTGTTTCTTTTATGAATACTAGCTTGTCTCACTTGGCAAAAGGTATAAAACTAATTTTTCATTTTGGTAGAAGAATTTAAAATCTGATGATCTGAATGAAGAAGTATTCAAGAAAGATGATAGAAAAACATATGATTTGACTGTTTTATTACAATTTAAGTTCAAGCATATGGATTCTTAGTGTAAGAACAGGAGTTAAGATCCAGTTAAGTGCCCTGGATGGTGTGGCTCAGTGGCAAAGTGTCACCTGAGCACTTCATTCCCCAGCCATGAAGGCGGGTGAGGAAGACAATCAATCGATGTGTCTCTCTCACAGCGATGTTTCTCTCTCTCTTTCCCTCTCTCTCTCTCTCTCTGTCTCTCCTCCCATCCCCATTCCCTTCCACTCTCTCTCTAAAAAAAATAATCAATGGAAAAAATATCCTCAGGTGACGATTAACAAAACAACAAAACAAACCAGTCAAATGCCCAAAGCTTATAAAATACAGGGTTTGCTATTCTATTAAGAGTAAAACTTGCCTCTTTACCAATAACTGCAATATCACAGAGGCAGGTATAACTTAAAAAATAAATTCTTAAACCACATATTCATAAAGTGGAGAAAGTAATGCTCTGCACAGACACACACAAAAAATCATGCTTATTCTAGGAGTTATCTCACACCCTTCTCATAAGGTTTTACTACTGTAATAATAAAACATATTTAATAAATGTAGAAATGTGTAACAAAGATATTGTTTTCTTCACAAATAGCCCTTCAAATTAAGCCTCTGATCGCCTTTCAAGCTTACAGTAATGTTGTTATTAATGAGCCTAAACATGCATGCCTGAGTTTTTAAGTAGAGACTACCCAGACTCCATTACAGAGATCCAACACGCAAACCCAAATATCCATGAGCATCCCTGGCTAACTTCTGACACGAAAGCTTGACTTGTCAGTGTCCTGGGCACAGACCTACCACCAAATGCAGTGAGACTACCCCCAATACTAATATGAATTCCTTTCGAGTTTTGTCTTCTTCCTTTTATCCATTTATGACTGAATGAACCCACAGGCCCAGGACATCTCTTATTATAAGGCGAAAAAGTTCGAGTAGCAATGATACAGAATGTACTGTCGTTTTCCTTATTAAAAGTAACTCTATTCTGCTTTTAAATGTTTTGTATAGTAAAGCCCTGGATCTGATTCTCTGTGACTAACAAGGTTAACACATGCATTGCTGTTTACAGGATGCCACAATGAAAACATACGGCTGTCTCTTCAGCTTTTCGGACACAAAACAAAATGAAACAAACAAATGAAAAACCCAGCTTCTCCTTCAAGAAACATGAGACAGCATATGCTATTCTATACCAAGCTGTGGGGTCATTTAGGATATAGAAAATTATGTTTTGCAAAAGATCAAACAATGGTTCCTGATTCTGGCTATAATGACTCCACTACAATGACAAGTGGAGTTTTCACAAGAGGTGACTTTGAGATTTAATACATATGTATGGCTTGTTGGTACAGAGCACAGCGAAGATAACAGCAAAAACCTTGACCAGGCAGTATTGAGACCTTAAAGTCTCAAGCAGCTATACCATGACTTTTTAAAAAACATTTGGAGTATCTCAGTATTGAAAGTTGAAAATTATAAGAAAAAATACCCAGTCCCTTTACCTAGATAGAACCACAATGAAAAAGAACCAGTTTTCAATGACTTCAGCTCCAGTACTAACAGCTAACTTTGGAAAATATTTTAAAACATATGTATTTTAAATTCAGAGGCTAAGTATCAAACATTATTAAGGTATACTTGTGCCATAAAACTTTGCTCTACCTTGTGATAATACAGCCTCAGGTATTCGAGTGTTTACCAAATATAGAATCTTGGAATGAAGCACGTTTGTTCTGAGAACACAAAATTCGCTTACATAATTCATTTCTTCTTTCCTTAGTAGTAAACACTGGTTAGAGTGAAATGAGATAGTATTGTTTTGCTTGCTTTTGATCTTTATGCTTCTGAAACACTAATTTTTATGTTCCAGGTTTCTTGAAAATAAAATATTTTAGTTAACGGCTGCTGAGTGTCTATTCAGCAAGTATAGTTAATAGGCTAGGACTGTGGCTCCTAGAGTTTTAGACTTTAAGAAAGGTTCAAAAGCAAATGTTGGAGACTGACATTAAATGTAAATCAACTGCTACCTACTATTATAATTTTAGAAAAGAAAGGTCATTTTAACACTAAAAATGTAAGCAAGACAATCTGAAAATAGATAAAATAGACATATTTTCCAAAGACAAAACATGCTAACAATCTTACATTTGCAGCTCCTCCCAGCTGTGGTCTCTGCTTGCCTCTCCCTCACACACACACACCTTTGTTTTGTTTCTTTCTCTTCCGCCTCAGTTAAACGCAGCCGAGGCTTTACCCTACTCCAATGGCCAGCATTCTGGAATCCCAGGCCTCAGCCAGCTTCTATGAT